GGAAAAAGAGTGAGACTCTGTCTCAAAAAAAAAAAAAAAAAAGAAAAATCCTGAGAACCCTTTTATGCAATTAAAGCAAAATTACTCCCAAAGAACAGTGCCTGGGAGGATTGTGCCAGGGTCAGAAAAACCTGGGAGAGAGAGTCTCACTAGCACTGAAGCAGTCCAGGCTCAGATTTGTAATGTACTAGCTCCTTGTTAATCATTATGCGGCCCAGTTTTCTGTGCTTCTATAATGTAAATCTTATAGTGTTATAACTTACATAATTATTCTATTCTCTTTACACTTTGCTATTTTACAGTTTAAAATGTTATACTTTCGATAAAGTAGAACTGAACAGGAACACATGTAATATAGAGAAAGAGAGAAGGAAAAACCAGCTGATAGCTTGGTTTCCACTTGAGATAACATTTAAACTCCCAGATAATGGGAATTTTATTATATATTTCCCCTGAAAAAAATCCAGGAAAAATAGGGTCACAATTTCCCCTGATTATCAGTATTAGCTATATTTCCAAATAATCTATATTTTCAAACACATCTCCTTTTTTTCTTCTTCAGTTTTTTGTTTTTTTTTTAATTTTAGAGACAGGGTCTCACTCTTGCCCAGGCTGGTTTCAAACTCCCGAGCTCAAGCGATCCTCCCGCCTCGGCCTCCCAGAGTGCTAGGATTACAGGCATGAGCCACTGTGCCTGGCCCCTCAGTTTTCTTTCTTGAAAAAAGACTTATGTTATATAATAATTTTGCTGTCACTTTGTTTATTCTTTGCAGTTAGTGAATATGTTGAATGAGTTTTACTAAAATTTACAAAAAGGATGTGAAAAGTGTACTAAAACTTTAAGTTAAATAATGCTGAGCACAAACTGAGGTATTTAAATTAATCCTTAACTAAGCAAACCTGGGCTTCTCAGGCGCCACTTCCTTTCAGTGCATAGGTCAAACACTGGACAGTTAGTATTTGCCAGTTACAGCCCACCTTTTTAGGGCACCTGTATTGTGTCCTGGTTTCCACTATAATCATGAGAAACAATAGCATGTTGTCTTAAGTATTAGAATTATAAATTGAAAGAGAACAGGAAGATTGATCCTGATAGTGTTGTAGTTTTACAATGTGTGCATTTTCTCCAGGTGTGTGTATGTTTTGTAGCTAATGTTAATGCATCTGTTAGGAGTTGCAGGAAATTTGTGTTTCAATTATCAAATCATGTACTCTGTTTTCCATTAATGAGATAAAATGTTAACCATCATTAGGCTTTCGTATCTTAAAATTCAACACTGGTATTAAGATAGCCATTAAAATGTTCACCTACTATAAAAATTTGTAGTCAACTTTTAATGCTCTAAGGAAGGCATGGATATACAAAAAAATGGGTAATCGCTAAGTGTCATTTTAGGCTAGAATTTTAAGTTCTTAGCTCATCAGAACTTTGACTAAGATGCAAACATATAATTGCATTGTTGAGCTCAGTGTTTTTTCACACTGTGAGCTGCGATGCATTAGAGGGTCATAAAATCAATTCAGTGAATCAAGAGTCACGTTAAACCAAATGAAACAGAATAGAATGGAATAAAATCAAACATATAAGAACATGTCACAGGTGCAGGGTTCTTTGGGGGATGATAAAAATGTTCTGAAATTAGATTGTGGTGATTATTGCAGAACTCTGTGAATATACTACAAGCCACTGAACTGTGTGCTTTAAAGGGGTAACTTTTATGGCATTGATATATATCAATGAAACTGCTAAAAATCAGGGGAGGGGAGTAAGTATTAAATATTTTTTTCAATATGTGTGTGTATATGAAGTTGCTTTGTGAAATTACTTTTTGCTATGGAGGACGATCAAAAAAAGTTTGGGAAACGCTGGTCTAATCTCACTAGCAAGTGGGAACCTAAAGTATTACACTTGACATAGTTGATAAAGATATTCTTGTATATCAGGCATTCAGCTTTCAAAATTTAGTTGACATTTACCAGGAAAACTAGAAGCAAGGCTGTCCTGACTGGCATGCTACCTGTCTTCCACAGCGAGAGTCGTGTGAGGTCGGCTGCAGCAGCGCAGAAGGGGCATATGAAGAGCAAGTACTGGGTAAGAAGACACA